CAGCCGTAGAAACAGCAAGAACAACATACTTCTTTTGTGCAATATCGTAAACAACAACTACATCAAGTACAACGGCCACGAGCGAGTCTCTCAAAAAAAAAAAAAAAAAAAAAAAAAAAAAAAAAAAAAAGAGAAAAAAAAAACACTTTCGTAATGCACCTCGTTGCTGTTGCCCCACTATAAGCAGTACGCATACGCAACGCAGTCCAAGGCAGCGGCAGCGGCAGCAGGTCAAACTTAAATATTTAATGAAGCGCTTAATGCGCAATAGCTGCGACCCGCCTCCGCGCCGGCTTAATTGCCGCGCCCAGGCTGCTTGGTCAAGGAGCTGGCCTGCAAATATTTTCAACAAATTTTTGCTTAATGCAAAAAATATTTCATTGCTTCGAGGTTGAGGAGTCAGCAGTAGTAGCCTGCTTACTGGCCATAAATTTCCAGAGCGGGCCGTGCACATAAGCAGCCCCGAAAATGTTTGTGGCGGGCCTCTAAGCCCAGGCATGCGGTCGCCCAGGCATGTGCAGCATTTCAAGCACCGCACCACACAACAGCAGCAACAACAACAACAACAACAAAAGCACACAAAAGAATTGAAAGCCATTGCCATACAATTTGGATGGCCAACGGTGGGCAGCAGGTGTTAGCCGAAAGTGATGTCAGCTAGTAAATTCCAAGTTTTTAGCTAAATTCAAATGTGTATCTGATATCTATACATTGTATAAATATTAATCAAGCCATATCAATCAGTCAGCACATAGTAAATTAAACTGAATGGTCTTTTTATTTTTCATTTAAACTTAAAATTCATATTTTGGGCAAATAAAATGAACTGTAAATCAAATTTAGCACATCAAAAATGTTGTTTGTAGCCATTGGGCGAATTAAAATTTTATTTACAGTTTAAATTATTATAAAATGACAGCTCAAATGGCTGAAAATTAGTCGAAAATATTAAATTACATTAGCTGCCAATTAGCACATGCTGAGAATTATTTGAATCGGGTCAAGGGAGCATTTGTGTTGAGCTTTGCTTGATTACTAATTGGCATAGCTCTTCACACAATTGGCTTGAAGTCTTTTATACATTTTAATTAATACATGTTTTATTTGATAAATATATATATTTTTCATAGCTTTGTGGAAAAAAGCCTTTTATGTTATAATTTAGCTTAAGGTTATTTGTAAGAGCTTTTAGCGTGAAAATTGCTGCCAGCTCTGACATGCTGTTGTCGCTGCACGAAGCCGCTAGCAAGCATTCTTTGCAGCAGCAGCAGCAACAACAACAACAACAACAATAACATCAACTCACAACAATGGTCGAGGCTGCTTAACATTTAAAGTGAACAATGAAATATGCTTGGCTGTTCCAGCGCTCTGATGTTGCTCATACGCCCTCGCTGCCGCCGCTTGGCGACCGCCGAGGTATTCGCTTTACTTATTTACACCAATCAAAGGTGTTGTAGTTTTTGTTTGTGTCTGCATGTGTGAATGTGTGTGTATGTGTGTGTCTGCGTTTGGTGTGTTTATTTGTTGTGTTCCCCGTTGATGCGTCGTCGTAGCAGAGAACGACGCGAGTCGCTTACAAATTACCAACCCACACACATACATATACAGACTCACACACAGCTACCACACAGCCAACGAAGAGGGCAAAACCTTGCGGCGCCTGCACTTCTGCGGCCCATTGCGCACGATAAACTTGCAGCGAGTGTAACGAAATTCGGTCAACATTTTGGCCATGAGCACGACCAGGGGCCAGTGGCCAATGGGCAGCTGCCATTTGCTGCCCACATGTGGCCATAATTTTTAAGCGCCAAATGAGAAGCAATTCATTGACCATGATGTCTGCTAGTTGCCTTTGCTGTTGCTCCTGCTCCTGCTCCTGCTCCTGCTCTTGCTCCTGCTCGTGCTCTTGCTATTGCCGTTGCGATATTCCCAGTCACAGCATTTACATCTATACATTGTTATGCTCGTTGCTGTTTGTACGCTTGTAGCTCTGGGACCGAGTCCAAAATCCTATTTCGGAGACGTTAGTTTAAGTTTCACCCCGAATGCTGCGTTTTCTAATTGCTATTTGTGGGCGTTTCGGGGGCGTGCGAACTTTCATTTGTGTGTTGGCACATGACTCTGAAGTACGACATTGCCAGCATAAAATCGTAAAGGTAAATTAGAGCCAACGATAACGAACGTAGCAAGAAAATACGAAAAAAAAAAAAAAAACATGGAAGTGGGGTAAACAAATCTTGAAGCTTAGCCAGTGCAACAATTTAAATTGCCAAACGCAATGTGAACTGCTTCAATTGCTAGACAAAATGAAGTTGAATTCTCGCAAATCTAAGTATTACCCACTTAGTAAGTCATTCCTCTTATAATATAGACGTGATAACACTAAGGTAAAGAAAAATACCAACATTCCTTATATATTATATGATCCAGAATTATATTTCTGGACTATGGTTACACAATCTCTGTTGTCCAGTGAAATTTGTTGCCCAGAGTGAGCTTTAATCATTGCCAGAGTTGATGTATGTTGCTTTGGCTCGGAATAGCATCTGCGCTTTCTTTGGGCCAACAAAACCACAAGTTCCTGAATGAGCACAGTGTGTGTTTTATATAAATTGTATTTGCAGTCTTGTTTCAAGGATTTCATTCCATTTGATTTGAAACAGGCAATAGTATATGCAAGCAGCCCCTTTCAATTATACAGATTTTTATAAATGGCTAGGAAATGTTTTAAAATGAAATTGCTTTTGTAAATCAATTGTTGGGTCTTCAGCATAAGTAACTTATTTCACTTATCCGCAAACAAAACAAGTCGAGCAAAAGTTCGTTTGTTCAAATTGATTTTGGCTTAAATAAATATGCAGCTTAGAGTAGAATTTAAAATGGTAGTCAGGCATATAAAATGCGACAGATATATTGTTGTCAGGACGACTAAGTAACATTGATTTAGGGGATCTTTGCATCTTGAGTTGTTCTCTGTAATTTGATTCATTTGCTTTCAGTGCACGCCGAGCCTTTTTCGTCGCCTAATCACAGCCGAGATGTAATAACCCTTTTTGACTTATAGGAAATTGTTTTGTTCTTCTGCTGGAAAAAGCTCTGGGCTAGAAAACGAAATTTACTTTTGCCACCAATATATACATGCAGTATATCCCGTATCCGGCGAGCATTGCACAAATAAAATAAAGTTAGCTTAGGACATTCTCTCAATTGTAAATATTGTCACGAACCGTCACACCCACACGCACATGCACAGGCGTATATAAATGTTGTTTATGTATAAATGTCAGCAAAATTTACCTACAGATACGCTGCTTGAATTTCGAAGAACGAATAATACATCGTGGCATGCAACTTGAACGGGCTGTAAAGTATGCCATGCTCTTTGTCAAAGCCCCTTTAATACTCACATGCACACACGCACACAAACACAATACGCACGTCGAAATAAAAGCAAAACAAAGACACCGAAAACAAAAACACCAACGACATCAGCACAAAACCACAATCGAGATCATTATCAATTACACGCACAGTAGGACACGACTCCGGGACACGGCGACAGAAAATAAAAAAAAAAGTGTAAAAACTCACACACATACACAGAGAGCACAGAAAACAAAAAAGAGCGAACGTGACGGCAATAGTGTGAGAGCGGGACGCATAGGCACCGAGGGGCAACGAAAACGCAAAGAAAATACGCATGAAATTGCAATTTACATCAAATTCATTTGCACCCATATGCACACACACACACACGTACACACAGACTGAATTTCGTACGCACATATAGCAGAGTTACAAATAAAATTCATTCATACGCATAATGAAACAAGGCTCGCTTGGTCCCAAGTAACATGCGGCCAGAAAGGATAACAAAGGCATGGCCGAAAATAAGGACAACAATGTTTAGAAATAAACAAACAATTGTAGCCAGTAGCCCAGTAGCCCCCCTTTTCGGCCCCTCAGCCCCACAGCCTATGCGGCGCCTCGCCCCCGGCCACCCCCCGTTCTTCCGCACAGGAGCTGCACATAGTGATGGGGAGAGGGTGAAGGGTTGGCGGCTGTCACATGAGGGAGCATAACAACAGCAACAAGAGCACAAGAGCAGATTCAAAAATTCTTGTTTTGGGCTCGGGGTCGAGCTATGGCTCACGCATTCATTGTCGCTGGCTGGCCCTTTTATCTCAGTTGGGAATTCACATGAGCACACACACACACACACACAGAGAGATAGCTGAAGAGAAATACAGCCAGAGGGAGAGGGCATTAAGAGAGAGAGAGAGACAGATAAACAGACAGAGAGAGATAGGGAGAGAGAGAGAGGATTTGCGCCAGAGGTAGCGAAAATCCACGCCCTGTATGTAAATTATTAGCTAGGCACTTTTTGTGCGGGCGCCTCCTGGAGTTGTCGTCAAAGCCAGAACAATTTTCGGGTGGCAGCCGCAGCATGGGCGGCAGCAGCTGAAAAATGGTCATATGCACACACATACACGAGCACCCACACACACACGCACGCCGATAAAAACAGACACAGATGTAAGAGAGCAGCAAACACTGAGAGCGAGAGAGCGACGGCGAACGTAAAACGCCCTTTTGTCGCTTGGTCTGAGCGGTTTGTGTAGAGTTGTTGAGCGCTGCTAAGAGAGCGGGCGTCTCGCATTTAAGCGTAAGCGCACGATGCCGACCTCAGATAAGAAGCCAAGCACAAGTCGTGGAGCACTTCAAGGCGGAGAGTAAGGCCAGTCGAGTTGAGAAACACGTCTAGGCGCTGTTCAGGCCCAACACAGTGGGAGAGCACGAAGAGAGCGCAGCGAGCTCTTTGTCGCTTTGTGGCGCGCAGCATGCGCACAGCATCCAGGAGAGCCGACTGGCGACAGCAGCAGCAGCAGAGGCGTCACGAGCGGCAGCAGCAGCAGCAGCAACGGCAGCAGCAATGCGACTCAACAGCGGCAGCATCAGCGCCAGCTGCGAAAACTCTGCCATGCAGAAGCGGCCAACAGTAGTTGCCTCAGAGCCCGCGGGTTGAAGAAAACGTACGCATCGAGCGAGCCGAGCCGCGTCGCGTGTTACCAAACAAAGAAAAGCCAGAGAATAGAAAAAAAAAAAAAACAAAAAGAATATATACACATATATACAAAAAATAAAAATACAAAAATATACGAAAAAAGAAAAACAAACAGTAGGAAAGCAAAGATAACAAAATTACATTAATCAAAGCCAAATACGAATCAATTGATATTCGGACACTGGCCAAACCGAAGCTAACCGTTGTGTTCATAAGCGGCAACGAAAATGCCTCCTCTAATGTCACGCAAATGAGCAAACAAACACTCGATTGTCACACGTTGCCGCTGCTGCGACTGCTGCTGCGGAACAGCGAGTCTGCGACCGAAACCGAATCCGATACCGATACCGATACCGCTACCGCTACCGCTACCGACACCGTGTCTGAGCCTGTGGCCGAGTCATCGCCACTACTGCGAACGGCAGCACACTCTGAGATTTCAGCACCGGCCCGTGCCACGTTTCACGCAGGGCGTGTGCTGCTTCAATATAAACACTGGCGACACCAGCAACCGCAGCAGCGCCATAGCCAACAACAGCAACAGCTAAATCAGCAGCAGCAACATCAGCGTTATTTGTGTGCCTGTCCCTATCGAAACATATATTCGCCTTTACATTCGCAGTCGCAGTCGCATTCGCATTTGCATTCGCATCCGCATCCGCATTTAGAAACATGTGCGCGCTCGCGTGTGAGTGTGTGTTTAATTGAAAAGCCATCGCCTTGCCACAGCACAAATCCCTGGCAAATGCAACTCAATGCGGCTGTCTCTGAAATCTCTGTAAACTAAAACGTCGAGTGTTGTTCAATTCTCGTTCTCGTAATAGCCGTCGCCGTCTCCGTCGCCGTCGCCGTCACGTCTGCCTCAGCCTTTGAATCTCTGTCGCCGTTTCGGTCTCTCTCTCTCCCACTCTCCGCCTCTGTCGCTCTCTTTCACCCACGCCGTGTGTTTTCTTTGCCGTGTTGTTGGCTGCCTGTCAGCAGGTCTCGAATTTCATTTCGTTTCCGGTCTCGTACGTCGCTCGCTGGTTATCTGGTCCCTGGTCCCTGGTCCTTGGTCCCTGGACCAGTGGCTGGCTGCCTGTTGGTCGCCCAGTCTGGCTGTCTGGGCAGCAGTTGGACTTATTCTAACCTTTGCGGCGCGTTGACTTTTGTGCGCAAATTGATGTCAGCAATGTAAGTGTGCCACAAATACAAACACAACCTACACATGCACACATACACACACCTATGCAATTTGCCTTGGTTTATGCCTTTCACGAACTCGCGTAACTGTTGCGTCAACTGTCAGCGCTTAATTTGCCCGTCACTGAAACGCTCAACATAATGAAAACGTCTCACACCTCCCAGCGAAACGCAACTCAGTGATACACATATGTTATATATGTTTTGGTTGTAATTATTAATTTAGTTAAATTGATATGTACAAGATAATCAAAGGCTAAGCACTTTACTAATATGTTTTATTTATTCTAAGTTTTATTTATTTTTTAATAAAAACTCTATTCTTTTTACTCTTGCATAATTAAATTAATTTCTTATATATTTTCGCATCAAATATTATCCTAACCTTATGCATATATTTGAGCATAAAATATCGACCCACATGTGCCTTTGCCTTTTCTTCTGATTTCTATTATTTTTTTTTATTATTGCCTCAGAGTTTGTTCTCGTTTTCTCTAATTAATACGATTTACTTTGCTGCGGAGTGCCTAGAGGCTTTGTGCTTTGTGTATATATTTATATACATATATGTTTTTCTCGTTGTTTTATGCTCATTTACCACTGCGAATGGCTTCATCCCCACGCATTACTCATACGCCACGTCTGACCTGTCTGTCAATCTGTCATTCAGTTAGTCACTCAGTCAGTCAGTCAGTCAGTCAATCATTTACCCAGCCCGTTTTCCCTACTGCCAGCAACTGTTTTTTGTCTTCCTTTTCTGTTCTGTTATTGTTTTGCTTTTGCTTTTGCCTTTGTTGTTGTTGTTGCTGTTGTTGTTGATTTTAACGTAAATTCCCACTTGTTTAGTTACCGGGCTGTCTTGTTTTTGTGTATAGGCTTCCTTTGTCTTTGGCTTTGTCCTGACAGCAGCAACCATAAACATGCACACAGAGGCACACTTACACGCACACGGTCTGCCGATGTCTGTGTGTGTGTGTGTGTCTGTGTGAGCTTTAGGTGACGCCAGCTTGAAGGACGTTGTCGATTCTTGCTATTGCTCGACAAATATTTTCGTTTTTGAAGTTGATTTTTGGTCTTCAGCCGAACGCCTTTTGTTATTAGCTCAACCCCCGCCTCGCACCTCACAGCACTTCAGCAATATGCATTGAATCGTCTCTAAATTGAATGCCAAGTGTTTATTTACATTGGCCAGCTCTTGCCACGCCCACAGCTTCCGGTGACCCAGACGCTGCTGACTATGAATTTATTATGTGAGACTGAGGAATATTATTCCTCACTGAGCGTTGCATGTCTCCACTGATCTATCACGGCACTCGAGTGAGCCATTTGAGCAGCGCAAACAAAATTAAACAAGTTGAAACTTTGTGTTCACAAAAGTTGCACTCGTTTTGGCCATTGTCGTCGTTGTCGCTGCTGCCGCTGCTTAAGAGTGGAGCAAACAACAATCAACAAACAACTTATACTAAGAATGTATATGTGTTAGTAAAGTTTATGTCTGTGAGTTGATTAATTGTGGAAATTAGATTTTCAGTCAAGCTCTTAAATCACATTGCAAAAGTTTCGTTTAGATAATTAATTATAATTATATTAATCAAATTAATATTTCAATAGGCATTCCAGAATAATATAGAGAATATTTCTAGTGACCTAAAATCTCTCTGCAAAACGTATTATATGGAAATGGAAATGGAAATTTTCATTTATATAGAAATATTGTTGCTTTTTTAAATACACTTATATTATATATATTGAGATGGGCAAACATTGTACTTGCAGTTAGTGTCTGAAATATTTAATTTTATTATTTTCATTTATTTTTTTTATTTTTTTTTATATAGTTCTTGCGTGTTTATTTATAAATAAAATTTTAATATCACATTTTTGGATAGACTATGTATTTAATAGTAAATAAATTTAAATAATCTCTATTTTATAGTATTGAAATTTTAATAACACTTTGAATTACCTAGAATTTTATTTTATATATTGTTAAACACATTTTTTATGTCTTTAGGTCATGGGCTTTTACCACTTTACCATCATGTACTTGTATAAAATCATTTACTGATATATTTTTCTGAAATACCAGAAAATATGAGTATATTTGTGCAAAGTCAAGTGACTATCAAGCATTTAAATCCGCTTCGATTGCGGTCTCAGTTCAGCAACTGCTGTTGCCATCAAATAGTTTTAACTTACTGCTCATAAAAATCTATTGCATACTTTTGTGCACAACGGGAGTTTATTCGTCTGGCAGAACTGTCTGTGTGTCTGTCTGTCTGACTGCCTCTACAGCTGCAATCGAAATGGATACTGAAGATATTATTGATTGGGTTGGCTTGCAAGATTTATTATTCGCAATCTTTATGTCACGTTATTAGCCTGCCAGCTTGCAGCATGCCATGTGCTGCCTTAAGGTTGCGCTTTAAGAATTATCTGAATGCACTCTGAACGAGGCTTTACGTCTTCCAGTGCATTATGCGCCATTTGTTTAAGTCTCGAAGTGCTTGGGCTGTGGCATTGTTGCTGCCGCTGCACTTAGCTGACCCGCAGTCGCAGACGTTGTTGCTTAAAAAGCAGTCAGTCCCACAATACCAGCACCAGTTTGCAACTGTCCAACAATTCTGAGGCGAAGCCATGCCACTGCCAGAGTTCGTCTGGCTGGCTGTTCGACTATGTCTCTCTCGGTTAGTTGCTGTCCTTTTATGCTGCCTGCATACAGACATGCATGCATACAATACATACATATGTATATATGTATAAATGGCATTTGCTGTAGTTGCTGATGGACATTTGCTGGCAGCTCCTCGGCTGCCTTTTTATGCGCCACAAATGAAAATGCAGACAGACAACGGGCGCCAGCCAACAACGACGGGTATGAGGACGTCGACCAGCACCAGGACAACGACGTCTGACGATGACGTCGCATTACTGAAGACAATGGAACCAACTAAACTAAAGCCGGCACAGATCTCGCCGGGTTCGTTGGCAACTACTCTGCAGTATCCACTTCCTACATGCATTTGAATTATGAGTTATGGTTGGGTCCGAAAAAAAAAAGAAGAAAATATACATAAAATACAGAAAACTAGTGGAAGAGTGAAAAAAAAATATATATAACTAAACAACTTGGGTTTTAATTCATAATTATTTTTATGTCAGTGCACTCATTAGAGTTGCTGTTGTTGTTGATATTTAAAAACATTTCCTAGCAGCTCCCATTTTTATTCAGCATTTTCATATCCATTTTCCATTCTCAGGCTTTGTCATTTGCATTTCGCATTTGGTTTGCTTTTTCACATTTCAAATTCGCAGCTGCACATTTTCGTGTTTCATATTCAACTAGTCCAGTCCCAACCCGCCGTTTTTTCTACTTCGTTGTGCATTATGCGGCTCTATAATTGCAGGCCTTAGTGCATACTGTGGGACTGCATTTGTGGTGTATAAGCGTTTGGCAGGTGCTGAATAATAAGCTAAATTTTCATATATCTGTGCAATATTTTGACTAAGAAAGAAAGTTATTATAGAGCTTTGTGATTTAAAGTTGATAGACAGAGAAAATATTATGTTCATCAGAGCCGATGTCAAAGCATTTTAATTTGAGAAAGAGTAAAGCTAGAAAAAAAAATATATATATAAAAATGAAATTTTAAAATGTGATATACTTCACAAATAAATAAGCACGATAGAAGAGCATAATGAAGAATTCAATACAATTCTAAAGTTTGTCAATATGTATATTCCATATTTATTTGAAAATAATTTTTAACTTATTCCTAAAAGTTTTTTAAGCATGCGAAAATAAACTGAATCTAGTAGCTTATATACAAATAATTTATATAAAATCAATTACATACTTCATACACATTCTCCACATATTACGCTTTATACATTGCCAATGCAACGCCATTTACACGATTTTCCGCATTAAGTTCGAATTTAAAATACTGTTTAAATTTCTCTATTATTCTTTTTTTTGTTACTTTTTGGCAATTTGTCAATTGGGCGTGGCGCAGACCCGGCGTGGCCAGGTCAATGCAGCAGACATACACTCGCACACACACACACACACACACACACATACACAAACATGAATTATCATTGTCAGCCAAAAACTTGAATGCGATAAATTGCCAGCAGCAGATGCATTGGGGAAAAAATCTATAATTTACAGAAAATTTGCTTCCGAATGCGAGCGGATTGCAATATAAATTGTTCCACTGTCAATGCGCTCAAATGGCCGAGTTGCACAAGTGCAAATATGCCCATGTAAAAATATGTGTATATGGATGTAACAATGTGCATGCATGCATGTATGTGTAGGCACGTGAGTGTATGCAAGTAATACACATTCATATTAATGCCGCCAGATATGACAGGCACACACAGAGCGCTGCCTTAGCCAGGCACTGGCAGCCAAATATTTGGCCAGATAGGAGAGCTGCCAAAAAACGGTTGAGAAAAAAGGCGGCGAAAAAAGATTTTCAGTTAATTTGCTTTGTGTTGGGGCAGTCGGCAAAAAGTAAAGCTTGCCTTTTGGCACGCTTCTGTTTGCGAAGTGATTGTGTAATTTTTATCTTTTTATAGTATTTTTTTTTTTCATTTACGAATATTATTAATTCACATAATTATTTTGAATGTGTTTTGCAGCCATGCCAACGCTCAAGACTGCAAACAGGAATTGTTAAAACCTTCGACAACAAAGTGCTGCCAGCAACAAGAAATCAACAAAATAAAGAACAACAACAACAAATAATCACACTATACAACTAGAAATTAGCTACGAGCGCCAGGAATTTAGCGAAACGTGATCATGGAATTGTCATTAATCAGGCACTAGATACGACAGCAGCAGAGTGCAACAGAGAGCATCAATCGCGCTAGCAACAACAAGAACAATGATATGTGGCACTAATTGAGGCGAGAGAGCACACGCAACACCTGGGGTCGCAGTAGAGGCTTTAGCTACGACAACTAGTAGACCTACCTAACCCGTGCGAAGGCTGCGTGCTGCTTTAAAGCGGCACCATTGCTGCCATTAAAATAGACGCCGCAGCGCAACAGCAACGCTGCCGTCGTCACAATCAACGCCAGCGCCAGCATCATCCGCACCATCGTCATCGCAGACGACGACGGCGCTTCCCAAGATCGGGACTCGGCGCGGGCGAGCGCCTCGTTACGAGCGTTGGCGTTGCCCTTGGCTCATGCAGCCCGCTGCTGGCAGCTCGGCCCAGAGACGACAGCAGCGACGACGACGGCATAGCGATACCATCAACATCCACATCCACATCCACTGGGGCAGCCGCCTTCACGCAGCTGCAGCCCGTCGACCAGCAGCGACGAAGGCGCCCTCACAACGGCCTGTCACTTGTAGGCAATGCAACGCTCTGTGCAGCAACGGTGAGTAGATCGAGTTGTTTCATGTCACTCTCTTCAATTAATGCTAGACAAACATGATGAAGTATAATTGCGCTAGAATGAAGCAAAGTTGTGATGTATCGATGCGTATATCGAAGGGAAAGCTCTCAACAGTCTCTTGAATATCTCTTATAAAATCTAACTAAATGAAGACTCTAATGAATCGTTTGCAGTGCACAGGTCACCCAAATGAACAAAGTAAAGCTAGTATAACTAAAGTTAAGCTACATATACAAATACATACATGTATATGCATTAAAGACTCTGCACATAGCGTTCGTACTGTTCTTGCGAGGGAAATTCTGGTCCCTAGACAAAATTATATGAGTAAATTGATATGACTATGGCGTCTTTCGTATATAACGACGGTCCCTTGAGTGTAGCTGTAACCGTATTCTACTGTACTGTACATCTTTATATAAAAATAAATTAATTTTTCGGATACGCTTAAGGTAATATAACCTCAAGAACAAAATGTTATCAAAAGAAAAAATTTGTTTTGTTTGTTTGTTTTGTTTATTGTAATGAAACAAATAAAATCAAAAAGCTGACTCCAGCTTATTCTGTTTAATAATGCTATAGAGTTAGTTTTGTTTTATTCGAAATCGAAATTTTTACAAATCCACAGTTTGATATATACATTGAGTCATCCTGCTCTTCTGTAAAGAACAAATCGGTTACATAGTTTCCGAAAAAAAGTCAACAGAGAATATTGCAAGAGCAAGATAAAGTTACAGAAAAAATTCATGCGCAATATTTACATTTATGCAAATTATATTTAATTTATATCGCATGTTTCACGTCTAGAGCTATTCTATTTTGATTGCCATCGTACAAGCCAAGTGCTAATTTAGTCTTGTGGCTTCGCGCTGCAGCTTCAGTTTAGCCAAAATTCTGAAATCTGACTAGTCCAAGTGACAGTGGGGAAATCAGATTGTCAGGTTAATGCACTCAAAATGTTAATGAAGCACATACACATCACATTTGAATATATGATAAGCATACGCATGGGGCATGGACTATTCGCTGGCCTCCTTCGGATGGATGCGGGCGTGTCAGGCACTTTAAAGCTGCCACCGTGCGACTCTAGTGTGGGGCAAACTTTCAACAGGAGCACATTTGAGCTGTGCTAATGAATTCCCCAGCAGACGCACATAAACACAGCACAGTGAGACACTTTTTCTGTATGTGTGGGTGGGTGTGTGGGTGGGTGTGTTTGTGCGCTTGTGTGCTTGTGCCACTGACAGTCATATAATTTCTAATGTGCTGCTTTTATGATCGTCATATACAAGAGACACTCACACAATCACACACACGATGCGGTCGCGAAATACACCCACGGGTGCAGCCACAGTCAGCGCAGGCATCGGCGCACGTGCCCGAGCCTATGTGACTGTGAGTGTATGTGTGTGTGTGTGTATGTATATCTTACTGTAAGTGTGTGCAAATTAAAATGCATAAAAGGATAACAGCGACGCGGCTGTTGTTGCTGACAAACCGCAGCAGCATCGAGGCGCGCCGCGACGAGGCGAGGTGAGGTGAGGTGTGCGCTGTGCCTATGCCTGTCAGCAAGATTGTCATTGTGGGCAAATTTCGCGAAACTGCAGCTGAAACTAAAGCAACAACAACAACAGCAGCAGCAGCATGGTAATATGAGCTGAGCTGAGCAGAGCCCTGGCAAATTGTACTGCAGGGAAAATTGTGATTTTCGCGCTCATCAACAACAACAGCAGCTACAGCAACAGCAACAGCAGCAACTACAACAACTACAACAACAACAACGGTGAGCTGCACGTGTTGCTGCGGTGCTCGGTGCTTAGACGAAAGCCTCGTCTGGTTTAATTTTAGCACTGGGGATGCGGCTCAGAGCAGTGCCTACTCATTCAGCGCCTTGACACTACTATGCCAATGTGTTTGCTTGTGTATGTGTGTGTGTGTGTGTGTTTGGGTTTGGGTTCGTGTGTATGTATGCGTGTACTTTGTACATATTGCATACTGTTAGGCGCTCATAAAAAAACCTTTACGTTACGACATAAAAATAGATGCCTGCTTGTATGTTGTTTGTGGCTGATATTGTTGTTGTTGTTGCTGTTGTTGTTATGCCGCTGTGATGTGGAAAAAGTAGTTAGAGCCGCGCATATTGTACGGCCACAACGTCATAATCATCAAGAACATTTCAGTTATAAAGTTTTATATGATTTAAGTTCTTCAGACCCATAATTATTTGGAGCACAGTAAAATGTGGAAGTTTTTATGGCAGCCTCTGTTTGACTCGTGTTTACATATGAATAAGTATCATGTACGTATACATATACGTATAACTATGTACGATTCTCTGTATTCTCAGTCTGTCGTATTTTATTCTGCATTGACATGACCTGCGGCAGGGCAATTGCCTAGGACGACACTGAGCGAACTGAGCGAATATTATTGGCAATCAAATGGAGTGCCATAAGCCCGCGAGCAACTTTCTGTTTCCTGCTGATTGCAGGAAGCACTTCATCAGAATAAATCAAAACACTGCACAAGTCTCCGGGCAAACTTAATAAAGTGCAGGCGAGTAATGAAACGGAGACAAACAATGGCAAATATGTATATTGGCTATATATTGCATATATATTGAATTAAGGCGCAAAAAGAGAAGGAGAACCGTAGAGCAAATACATATCTATCCGAATTTCTTTGTGTTAAAGCAGCAACTACGCTTTTACTTTTTCACAATATATTTATAAATATGAATAGATATTCAATTGTTTTCTAATGTCCGTGTATACAGCGCGGATATAGAGTTTTTCTCAAAAAATCGATAACTCATCCCGTTACTTTATTATCGATTAAAACTTTATCAAAATTCAGTAATAAAATTATATCTGCTACATCTTTGGAGCTAGTGTCGCCAAATCTGACATGTAGATTTAGATGTACTTAATAGAATTTCGATTTTTATTATAATTCACCTTATTGCAAATACTAGACACTTGTGCTCTTTCAGAGGCATGCATTTCAACGTAATATCACTATCTGAATGTTTAATCAATATACCATCCGTCGAGTGACATAGCATTCAGCTTCTGTCATGCAGTCGCCTCGCATTTATCTTCTGACATAAATTCACTAGAAGACCCAAAATAATAGCATTTATATTTCTGTGAATCATATGATTATTTTCTATTTCGTGAGCAATGATACATTTTTCCACAAGGTTCATATCATTCAATTTTTGGCATTGATGTACCTCACACTGAGTCTTGTAGCATTCAGCTTTTGTCATGCAGCTATCCTAACTCAAGGCTTAGGTTTTGTTTTTGCCACATTCACTAAATGAGTTGGTCCATAGTTTCAGATTCATTCATGGGGCTATGCTTCTTCCCTGAACGAGTAACTGATGATTAATAATTCCACAAGTTTTATTAATGCACTTTCCATAGAGTGTCATAGCATTCAGCTTTTGTCATGCATCTGCCTCAACTCGAGTTTCAAGTTTTGTCTTTGTAACATTCACGAGAAGAGTTGAGTACAGTTTCTTAATCACTCATAAGATTATGCCTTTTATTTAGCGAGCACATGCTGACCAATATTTCCACAAGTTTCATAGGTGTACCATCCATCGAGTGTCATATCATTCAGCTTCTGTCATGCAGTCTCAGAGTATTTCGGTCCTACAGTAAATGCGCAGGGAGATATAAACTAAGAGCATTTATATTACTTAGAATCATGAATATGTTTACTATTTCATGAGAAAAGAAATAATATAATTTAATTTTTGGCATTGATGTACCTTACACTGAGTCTTGTAGCATTCAGCTTTTGTCATGCAGCTTCCTGAACTCAAGTTTCAAGTTTTTTTTAGTCACATTCACTAGAAGAGTGGCCTGCCCACAGCTTAAGAGGCATTAATGGGCTATGCCATTTTCCTGAACGAGCAAATTATGATCGATATTTCCACAATTTTATCAATGCACCTTCCATCGAGTTTCGTAGCATTCAGCTTTTGTCAGGCAGCTGCCTTAATAACTCTGTGGATTTATATATACTTTATAGAATTTCGATTATTATAAAATTTCATTGAAATTTATACAAAATTTTAAATTTATATGTAATTTATTCATTTGCATACCCTAGTTCATTCACTTATTGGTTGCACGATTTGATTCCAGTGCCCATCTGTCAAATATTAATTCGGCCTGCGCTCCACCCATTTTATCCATCTATAAAAATTGTGGTGCTCATCATATTCGAGTAATTTCTAAGTCACTCAAGCGTTCAAGTCCAATTTGAAGATAGACCGCATTTTTGGCGAATTTCTCTCTATCTGAGAAAATGTAATGTGCTTTCGATAACATTTTGCTCAAGTGACAAATTTTTGTCGCCCACACAAACGAGGAAAACAGAAAAAAGTTCCCAAAAAATAAGAAAAAATGGGGATGGGTCTGGCAGGCGAATAGAGCAAGTGTTAAATGTTGACATGTCATGACATTGCAGAGAGCAGCAGCAGCAGCAGCAGGAGCACCAAGCAGCTGTGCCTGGGCGGGTGAAGCAGCAGCGAGCAGCGGCAGAAGTAGAATATTGGTCAACAAGGAGTAGGGAGCAAAGCCCAAAGCGTTCCAGGAAGCGGCTTACGTCCTGACAGCTGACAGGCGAATCAATGAACTACGTTATGATGGGCCAGCAAGGCTCTTGGCCCCAGCTCGGCTCTCGCCCCGCTCGCTCATACATGAAATAACATTTGCTCTTTGCTCCAAGAATGTGTGGGTCTGTATATGTGTCGATATCTGTGCCTGTATACGTGTGTATGCGTGTGTATGTGTGTGCTAATACACAGCGCAACATCAACAAATATTGTCAACGCAACATTCAACTTGTTATCCCTTCCGCTTGCTTGCTTTGCTTCCGTCGCTGTCTTTGGCAGCGTCTCTGCTTAATTTCGATTTGAACTCCATGATGGCCGCCATTTTGTCTTTCGCTCGTTCCGTCACTCTCGT